ATTACTGAGTGGGAACAGCAGGAAGAGGAGGAACTGGGGGGAGAAGAATGTGTTGATCAGTGTGGTGATGCTGCCCAGAGGAGACACTGTTTGTCGCTGGTCCATTCTGTGTTTCCCAAAGTCATTTAGGTTTTAGTTCCATGGCAGGGTGGAAATCAGGATCCATCCCTGTCTGCACTTGGGGAATTTGGGTCCTGCCTGTGGCTGGGATTAGGAGAGAGGAGGAAGGGCTTCCCCTTCCTGAAAAGCCTGAAAAGCTTCTCAAAACTCCTCTTGTTCCAAGTTCTGGGAAATCAAACCAGGATTTTCTTTCCCTCCAGTGGCTCAATGAAGCGAAGATTATCCAGAGACTCGTGGAGCTGATCCATTCCAGCCAGGACGAGGACGTGAGTGTGGCCAGGGTCTTGGCTCTGGGGGTGGTGGGTCCTGCAGGGTCCGTCCAGGAGACTCCCAGGTCCCTTTGGAGATGTCCTGGTGACCTGTGGAGGAGCTGAGGGATGACCTCAGGGTGTCCTGTCCTCTGCTTGCTCAGCACCAAAACCCTTTGTTGTGGTTTTAATCTGGTTTTAATCTGGTTTTTACTCCCAATTCCTTGGTTCATTTTGCTGCTGCATCAGTTCATCTCGAACCTGCAGACAATGGGAACTTCACTGGTTTTCAGTAGGAACCTGCTGTTCATTGAAAATCTTTTCCAATTGACCAGGTTGTGCAATTCTCATGTCTTTTAGCCCATAAACAGAAATTCAGCCCTAAAATCTGCAAGATGAGTTCTCTGAGCCCTGAAAAGGTGGCAGTGCCAACCCTGATTCCCTCAGCTCATCCCAGCCAAAGTTACACCCCTGGGAGGAAAGCTGGGCAGTGCCTGGTGGATGTGTGTGCTGGAGCAGAGCTGTCAGCAGCTCCAGAGAGGCTTTGATTGATGGCCAGAACGAGAGGATCAATCCCTCAAAGTACCCCTGCAAAGCCTTTGAATCCACAGTAATTAAGTTGTAAAGGGTTTTATCAAAGCATTTCTTTTTCTTCAGATGGGAAAGCTGAGCAGGGAGCAGGAGAAATGAAATGCCCGTGTTGGGAATGTGCAGGTTGATGGAGTTGAGGGAGATTAAAAAGAACCTTCATTTCAGCTCCTGACCTGCAGTTAATGGTTAAGTTCAGGCCAATCTCCCCTTCAGTTCTGTGATCTGTTCACGTTGTGATCAAGGCTGTACCTAACAGATGAGTCACTTCAGCGTGGTGGGAAGAGCTGGGACTGACCTGTGTTGTTGCACTCCCAGCTCGGTTCCGTTTGCCCTGACCCTGCTCCGTGTCCTTGTTCCAGAGGCAATCCAACGCTTCCCAGACCCTGTGTGACATCATCAGGCTGAGCAGGGACCAGAGCACACAGCTCCAGGACACCCCAGAGCCGGATCCCCTTCTCACAGCACTGGAATCGTGAGTACCCCGCTGTTCCCGCCGGGATCGCTCCGGGCACACGGGCGGTGTCCGGCCTTGGCACAGCTCCTGGGCCAGCCTGGGGTGTGCTCTGAACCACCCCTCTTGGGGGGTGGGGCTTTGTGGCTCCCTCTGAAGGCAGCAGAGGGGGGTCAGGGAGCCCAGAATTCCTGGCTGGGTTCAATGGGAGGCAAAACCCAAGGGATTTGAGGCTGGGAGAGTTGGGGTGTTCAGCCTGGAGAGCAGCAGGTTGTGAGAGACCTCACAGCACCTTCGGGGTCTGAAAGGGACTCCATCAGGAACTGGAATGCCAGGACAAGGGGGAATGGGTTCAAACTGAAAGAGGGGAAATTTAGGTTGGATATTGGGAAGGAATTGCTGGCTGGGAGGGTGGGCAGGCCCTGGCCCAGGTTGCCCAGAGCATCTGTGGCTGCCCCTGGATCCCTGGAAGTGTCCAAGGCCAGGCTGGACGGGGCTTGGAGCAACCTGGGCTGGGGGAAGGTGTCCCTGCCCATGGCAGGGGTGGCACTGGGTGTCTCTGAGGTCCCTTCCCACCCAGAGCATTCCATAACTGTGATATCCCAGATAACATCCAGTGTGAGCCGTGTACCACAAGCGTTGATTTTCCCGCTTCGCTCCATTCCCCTGGCGTTGTTTCTTTGCTCTTTGTAACGTACATTTAAATTATTTATGTACCATGTTTTCTGCTTCTTGTATTTGCTGCAAACCTAAAATTTTCCTGGAGATTCTCCATGAGATTGAAACCAAAACCAGGCTCTTCCAGGCCTGGAGGGGACATTGTGACAGGAAAGGGCTGAAAGGAGCCGTGCAATGAACAGCAGAGCAGCTGCAGCTGGGGCTTCAAACTCCCCCTGGACGTGTTTGTGTCCACCCAGAGCTCCTCAGTCCCTGTGACAGTGCTGGTGTTTTGTCCTGAGTCAGAGCTCTCAGTTCCTACAGGACTGTGAGGGCATCCCTGGCACAGGAGCCAGTGTGGGTGGGTGGGAATGGGATGGGGATCCTGCTGCACACAAGCACTGGGAAGCCACCAGGACCTTTCTGGGCCTGACATGGAGCTCTGCCCCTGCCAGGACCTGCTGCTCTTCCTTAAATGCTTCGTTTCCTTTGCTGCACCAGCAGGAATGGGGCAGATCTTTGTGCCATGGACATAATCCTGTCCTGGCAAAATAGCACAGCGTTGGGTTTTCATGGAGTCCCAGGATGGTTTGGGTGGGCAGGGACCTTAAAGATCATTTCCCTGCCATGGGCAGGGACACCTTCCACCAGCCCAGGTTGCTCCAA